TGAAATAATAATGACAATGGCTGCTACAATCAGTAAAAACACGGCAATGTCGAGAAGTAAATACTGGACTAAATTTAGTTCGAGGGATGCTGGTTTGAGGTGATCACCGCCAAACTTCAAAATGTGTTCAACCCAATATACAGCTGTATCTCCTGGAGGCATTGGAGTATCTCTCTGGATACTGGATAATCTAGCAGCATTGTCTTTGTACCTACGAAAAAATAATTTGTGCTAGAAATCAGTATGTGTGCAATCTTCAAGTTATACTTCTTTTTCAAAAAGACCCATGGAGTAACAATTTTAATTATAACATATTATTGATTAACAGTCGGTCAGTAAGAACCTCTTACCTAGGGTCTTCAATCGCCTTTTTTACAGCATTGTAGACATCATCTTCTGTGAAGGATTTTGAATCTAAAGAAATTGCCATTTCTTTGTTAACGAGTCTTTCTACGTTCTCCGACTGTTCCGCAGATAACGCCATGCCAATAAAAGGCACTGCGTGGTAGATAGCCTCGTTTACTCCATTGATACCTCCATGGCTTATAAATGCTTTGGTATTTGGGTGACCTATTGAACAGATGGGGTAAGTCAGAGCAATCATAATGATGTTTGATCAATCTGTAAATGGCTAGCTGATAATTTTGAATATGTATGCAATATAACACCTTGATACGTTCTGCATATTGCATATATTCTATGTAATGAATTCAATAACGAATAGTCGTTAGACGATATATCTACGTGTTACCTGTTCTTAGTCTCAATATTGAATATATGTGAAATGATCACACAACCTTTACCAATGTTACAGCGAAGCATATATGTATCTGTGATTTTACATCAACATACAAATAAATATATGTTGGAATAGATTACTCTGTGGCATTTAAACGTCCCTTGAATACGCAAATTTTGATTCCTGTGTTGGTTTGAAGAAATAAAAACTGCTAAACTAATAAAGTGATATTGTCTATTTATTACCTAGAAGATCATTTTGTGGAATCCAACTGCTAAGTTTGGTGTTCTCGCCAAGGCCATTTGGTGGATTCCCTTCGTATTTCATAATAACTTTTTGCGGCAATCTGGCAAACGCTTTAACAAACTTTGTTGCTTTTTCCAAGTCTTCGCCGATGTTAGCCTGTGAACCCAGTGTAAATACTACAATTCCTTCTACAGCCGATTCGACGAATTCGGTCCATTCCTAAAAAGACAACAATTCGGTACATCGTTTTGAAGCACTTACACCTGTTCACGTAACATATAAATATATTTGATGTGGCAAGTATGCAAATTAAATGTATTAGCTTCCAATCGTTGTCAAGTTTTGTGAAGCAGGTTTGTCAACTTTTTTATCACTTTTGTATCAAATTGTACCTTATTCTGTATTCCTTTCTTTTTGTACAAGAATGTAGTATTTTTATTTAATCCGCTTGGCGTAAAGTATTATTTATAAATAAAGTATTATTTAGCCAATACAATTAATTGATACATGGTTATGCAGGTAATACACGTTCTTTTACAAGCATTGTGCGGTTATGTAGTAATAGTACATTTATAGTACTATTATAATGCTAGTTTACAAGTTATGCAAGGCTATATAGCAAATACATTGCCGATTTACTTGCATACTCGGTTGCATTTTTACAATCAGCATAAATACATGGATACCAGGCAATATAATACTAGAAATAATACATGAATATTGTCCTTCTTGGCTAGAATAAGTTATTAGTAATATTATATTACAATACGAAAAAAGCAGTACTACACGCATAACTCTGGTACCATGTTTTCACTCCGTATTGGTTTTGCGCCCAGTTTAGACTGCAATGCTTTTTAAAAACGTTTGAATTGTAGTACGCTTTAACCGGCTCTTCAAAATAAATAGACGGGGTATGACACGACTCAAGCTGACCAGTAGGTGTTCGCTCGTAACGTTGTTTACGTGTACCATGCTCTTCTTCGTGTTATAGTGTATTTTGCCGTTTATAGAACAAGGTACACACAATCTTAAGTTATTCGAAAACGTAATTCACTATCAATATCGAGTGTTTGTTGTTCAATCTAGAAACTTCAATAATCGCTACAGTGAGGTCACTTTTCATGAAGTATCGCTGTCACCAGAAGCGTAGAGGCCGTTTTGTGCATAGTTAAATATTTATATTTTCGATGACAGGTGAAATATTCTTACGGCGATAAAAAAACGATATACCGTCGCAGTACTGCAGCTATCTATACATTGTATCTTGTTTACAAGCAACTCCCCGAGTAATTGCGATTTTAAACAATATTTGTACGCCGACGTCAGAGTGTGATAACTTGAACAATAGGATCGATCAAGCAATGTTTTTCAGTATGTACATGAGTAATTTGATTTATTACTGTATTTCACTACGATTTTTTTACCAGCACATACAAATTATGTACTATTTTACGCTAAAATAACGAGGCTTTGGTTATTTGGTGCTCGACCGTCCTCAACGAATACCATAAATAATGTTCACGAACGAGAAGGCTGGTACGCGGTGTGTCATACCCCGTGTACTAGTATTTTATAGTCCTTTGGCGGAGTTTCTTCTGTATAGCGGAACACAGACACACAAGCAATCCCGCAGGGGAAGCACGCGCAATTGTTCTCCGTCGGTGACGGCGCTGTTAAATATTGATAACTAACGGCTTTCTCTATTCACCCCGTACGTGTCAAATTGGGGAAGAAATTAAATACAGATATAGTGACACAGTTTGTGTGTATATCTATTACGTATATTATTATTAATTATTATTTTAGCTAGTTACCCGTGAAAGCAGGAACATGTAACTAATACACTTACATTTCCATTATTCCACAAATATTTCAAAACAGAATGTATCACTGACCCAACACTTTTGCCTGACGTCCTTGATAAGAGCAGTGGTCAAACAATATATCACGTGACAAAATGTGGTGTACATGCATGTACATGTGGTGTACGTGTTCACTTTGATACACTGCTTGGAATCACGTGTTTCCGACTCCGGATACATATCGGATAGAAAGAAAAATCGTGCTTAATTGTCGCGTAACCGTCAGATAACCGGAAGTCTAACCGTCGCGTAACCGTCAGCGGAATAACTACATTTCCTTTCATTGGGTCCAACCTAAAAAAAACGGAAATTTCTGATAAAACATCGATTTCCGTTCAACTTTTATTATGCGTACTTCTAAATATCCACTCTTGTGACGGTTATTTGGGGAAAGGGATATTAGATTGATTACTGGGCGTTGCGGTCCTGCTTTTGGGTATCATGGCCCTAAACAGGTTGGTCGTCACAGTTCTGGTATAAATTATAGTTGGAAGTGTTCATATTTAGTGTTATAAATGCACGACGAATGTATGGTTTAATTATTCACAACATATTTGTGTATTTTATATGAAATTTGCAAGGCATTGGTGAAAATGGTGTGTTTGTCTATAGTGGCGTTAACGCGTATGTGAACGGTGAGGACCGAATCGGCGCGTGCCGAAAAAAAAAACGATTTCTGTCCTGATAGCTGGTAGCTATCATCAAATAGAAATTGGCCATTGCTTTTAAGTCTAACATGTGCAGTTTTATTTTTTTAGTAAAATTTCAATTCTTTGTTGTCAACCAGTCCAGACGTTTCAGTGGGCATAGATATGCTCAGTACTGTTCAGGAGAGACTCGAAAGACACAGACCCAAAGAACAGTTTCCTGAGAGCTTCTACCTTTGTTTTCACCGAGGTCAAAACCCAGAGCGCTTGCCATTCTATAACTGCCTACTATCATCACGAGAGCAGATTTTTTCTCAGCAAAACATTGTGCTTTGAATGGACATGCGAAACTCTGTAAGACTAACAATAAATCACCAACCGAAAAATAACGTCACGAGCTTAGATTTAGTACGACTGAGAAACACGTAATCATATTGGTATTTCGCAGGAACAAGTCATTCTGCATAATTTTGATCTATAATTAACATCAACAATTTGTCATTACTACGGACAACACCTATTTACATTGACCGCCAGTTCATACTAGTGTGACCCAGATTCTTTGAACCTCAAATATATCCCCCCTTTGTTAACACTAATTGAGTTTGTTTATATCCAGAAACCTTGTGTATTCATTAACAGGGCATTTGCCTAACTATTTCGGATTAGCGCCCTCACAGGTCAATTGCACTGTCTTGCTTGTGTGACTTTTCACCTCTCTATGATCTGTTGTTACTTAGGTAAGATTTTTGTATTGACTCAAAATATCCATCGTAATCCTATCATTTAATATTGCCATCCTTATTTAATTAATATCTTGTTTGAAACATGAGCACCTTGGCATTATGCCTGTATAGTTTTGTTAGGATTGATTGTTTCTTATATTATTTACTCAGATTTTAAATTTGATATGAGTTATAGGTAAATGCGCATAGAGTCATTTTTGCTAACTTTTGTTAGAAATTTTCATGTATGACAAAGTTATGCATCCCTATTGAAAGGTGTGACCTTTCACCTCTCTATGATCTGTTGTTACTTAGGCTAAATGAAAATAAAGATCCGGGATTATTATCAGCAACCACAATTACTCGAACTCTTGTGTGTGTGTGTCTTTCCGTAAATTGCGTAAACACTGCACTCAAAATACGCAATTCACTGTTCCGGCCCCCACCGCCAGTGAGACCTGTGACACTAGTATTACATATATTTTCTTTTAAGTCACCACCGAGAGTGTGATTTCGGCTCGTACCGACCTGTCAGGCAGTAAATCTCGGCCCGACTTCATATGAGGAACTAGATCGATTTTTGTTGGCACGTGGCGTCTCGTTCCGGCCGCTCACACACACATTTCGGTACGTGCCGACACGTTCCCGACTGTCAGAAGGTAGTAGATCCAGGGTCGGAATCCCAGACTAGTGACATTTTACTAGTTACCCGCCACCGACTTGTCATTCGCAAGAAACTCGGTCGGTACGCACCATTTCAGAACAATGCAGTAACCCATGAGTGCACATGATCTTTATAAACAACCAAGATCTGAAATTTCTCTCTGAAAATTACATGGCCATCAAATCAAGTATTGCATTTCACTACTTAGTATTTTGTTTACACTGTGATATATATGTGATTTAGATCATCTATCATGAAAACAAAATCGATCAGCATGAATTAGGCTATCAGCTATCGCAATAACACATGTTTAATAAAATAAATAATCTATTAGACTTGTAATCTAACTAAAACCACACTTCTGTAAAAGTAACTTAGAGTCGCAACTATTGCAGCAATGCCGTGTTTGCTGATCTAAATATGTTAGTTACTCTAGGCTTGTCATCCACAAAGTACTTCCACGTCAAAATATTTATTTAATATAACCTAGCGTTTAATATAACCTAACATGTGATCGGCGAGGGCGCAATAACAGATATAATACTGTGTTCGGATACTGCGAATAAATGTATAATAAATAATAGTTTACTGCTAAAATGTTCATGTAATGAATAATCACAATCGGTAGACAAGCACTCCGCCACGATCTAATTAATATAAGGTTATTACGAAGATAATATTAATACGCTGTCACATCGACCTCCGCTGCGCGTCGGTCGATACTGCCGAAGTACTGTCTTCGTGCATATCTTCGTAATAACCTAATTATTATACATCTTTTCCCTTCAAGGATACATCATGGAAATGCCGAAATTCAAAAGGTTTAGAACAGAATCAGCGTACTTCTTTGCATGGAGTCCGGTCAAATCCTGGTGGCAGCCATGTTTGTTTTTATTATTAGAGGACGCTTACGGGCTTAATCATTCCATATTTGGAATTCGCATTTCCAAATATGGTAGTATGAAAATACCCCGTAAAATACCGCAAAATTACGGCACGCTGTAACTTGTGGCGTTACGGTGACAGATGTAAAATAATGCAAGTTAGTTCTATACAGCATATACGACACCAGTACGAATATATGCACACAACAAAAAATATAAAGTTGTCGCATGCATTGGACGATTGCCATAAACTAGTAAGTTAAAGCTGGTTATTTTGAAATGTGGTTTCCGAGTCATTAAACCGGGCCTCGGAAGCAGGTTTATATGAAAAAGTAAATGAAATCTATCATATCAAACCAGTAGCGTTACACCTATGTAGTTCACTGTGCGTGATTTACGCTAACTAAATTGAAAGTAAAACAACAACAAACTCTCAGCTGAAAGTATTAAAAGAGCAACTTAGTGTATCAGTTCTCCAAGTTCGGCGTAAAACGACTGCAAATTTGGGAATTTCCGTTCTTCACACAGAACATATCATACGTAGCACTTCGAAATTTACGCAGTTTCCGTTTTCGAGTGGACCTAACCGATATCCGATAAAAGAAATACATTCATGAATATATCGAAATTCATATATATATATATATATATATATATAACAATAAACATTTTCAAGAAACTCACCTGACTAAGAGGGTCTGGGGTTCTTGCTGTTAATGAACCAATATAAATAGCATGCGGCATCATAGGGCGGGGATAATCGAATGCAAAATCAGAACAGAAAAGTACTAACTCCGAATTTCTACATAAACTCCTGTATGAAAGCTCTGGTCGGATGTTATGCCTTTGCTGTATACTTTTGAATGGTTTTAGCAAAAGAAACTCAAACATTGCAGCCGATGCAAGGTATGCAAATGTATTGCCCAGTCTCTGAGGAAACGTCATCTCATCTGAGTATCCTGTTTTTACCGCTGGTACATATGCAGGGTTTGAAGGCAAACCATGAAGTAAATCGTCTATCATCGGTAAAGCTCTCATGGTGGAAACACTGATGAACGGTACACGCCATGTATCAACAATTAGAGCGAAGCCTGGGTTAAAGGCATTAGCAAGAATTAGATCAAAGTTCGCGGCATTCAAGCGTTCTAGGATATTAGTGTCTTGAATAAAAGCCTTCGTCTCATCTGCCAAAACATCAAAAATGCGAAGTATTTCAGAAATTGTTAGTGCAATATGTGCACTTTTTGTGACTCGGTTGTTTGCATCGGGAAATTCATTGATTCATACTCTTCAAAATTCATAAATGTTCTTTGTTTTTTTATCAGTCCTGCCAATCTTTGGCAATAGAGCTCATTTATCAGCACGGTCACATTGTGGCCTCTCAAGGCCAGCAGTTCTCCAAATCTCGATATAGTAATGTAGAAATTCCCGAACGTGGCGCCAGGGAGAATTAGGATATTGCTGCACAAGACTGGGCAGGTCACACACGCTATAACAATAGCACCGATCCATCGGGTATTAGAAAGTGCGGCCATTTTGTCGACGTCAATCAAAGTCACAGTCCAATGCACAAAACAAAAGGCCTACCTTTAGTGGTATGACCTGAGCTCAGTATTCTAATTTTGTCTTG